GCCACCAAACACACATTCAGACTAAAGGAACCAGCCTGTTTGCAACATGTGAGAAGTAGAAAGTACAGGTATTTGTGTTCAACATGTAAGAAGTAGAAAGTACAGGTATTTGTGTTCAACATGTGAGAAGTAGAAAGTACAGGTATTTGTGTTCAACATGTAAGAAGTAGAAAGTACAGGTATTTGTGTTCAACATGTAAGAAGTCAAAGTAAAAAGTCGTCAGAAAAATAAGTAGTGGAGTAAAATACTGATACCGGACAAATGTACTTAAGTACAGTAACTAAGTATTTATACTCCACTACTTCCCAGCATCTGATATTTGGTGATTTGTACGTACGTGATGACAGGGTGAACAGAACCACTCTCCATCGGGGATGATCATGAGCGGCGGTCTCAAACAGGCCGTGTGGTATCCGCTGTCACAGGAATCACACAGGAGGATCTGGAAAAGAGACAAAAGATTAGTCAATAAATCCTTTATACCATCAAGATGGCATTATTCATTGGGATTGGGATATGGGATGTAGACGATGTGTTGTGATTGGTTACTCGTGAAAAGTTAATTTTAAAAACCACAATTCATACGACATGGGTGGATTTAATCTGTCTTCATATCTCACCTTTTCAGAACTGCTTTTAATCTTTAATTCTTGTTGTGTTTTGTTTATTTTAAGAGGGTTGTTTTTAATGAATGTAACATGTAAAGTGTCTTTGAGTACCATTAAAGGGGCTCTATAAATAAAATGTATTATTATTATTAAAAATATATATGTAAAAATGTGTGAATTCACTGATTCAGTTCTTAAAATAATATACGGACAGAAATATTAAATTCTTAATTAATTCCCGTCTGAAAAGATTTGTTTTCTTTGGCTTTTTCCTTCATTTGATGCATTTTGATTAAGTTATAGATTTATTTCTTTTCAGATCTTGTGCAATTTACTGTATACACTTTATTTGGTAATTCTACCGTGTAATAACCATAACAATTGTTATATGCAAAAGATAATTTTTATAATATCTCAAACCTTAGTATTATTATCACTTACCTTTATAAATACTGCTACTCATATTGTAGCCATGGATGAGTACTTCTTTGTTTTTATTTTGTAGTACTTAAGTTTTCTTTTCCTCAATATTTAACATATGAGCTACTTTTTTATTGCTTGTCTTGTTTTATATATTGTCTTCTGTCTTCAGCTTGTAAACATACTTTCTAACTTCTAAAAAAATCCACTTTAATGATAAAAACGTGAGTTATTTGTTGGTATTATCGTGGTATCTGTGAGTACCCACCAGCTCTGGTTGGCTCGGGAGCCCGCAGTGTTTGCAGGGGTCGTCGTTTGGAGGTAAATCGTCGTCTGAGGAGGTCGAGGAGTCTGATTCTCGTCTCTCTCGGTTTCGATTGCGTCTCCGTTTGCGTCGCTCCACCTTGTAATCTTCGTCGCTGTCGTCCTCTGCCTCAGTTTCCTCCTCGGCGCTCGACTCGTCTTCGCTGTTTTCCTCTTCGTCTTCGGAGCCTTTCTTTTTACGGCGTGTTCTTGTGTTGGACCACCGGACCCTCCGTCTCTTCCTCCCCTGAAATAACACATGTGGACCTTTAGTACGGGAAATACTATGTGCTTACGACTTTATTCACCAATATTAATGACTGAAATTAGAGTTTGTGCAAGTGGTAATCTCATTGTTAAGAATATAGTCCACTGCATACTAGATTAGCATTTCTTATACAGAAGAGTCATGTTTAATTTTTGTAAAAAAAATTGTAAAATTTTTTTTTTTCATAATTGTTTTCCCTTTTTGTGTAAGCTTAGACAGCAGTGTTGTGATACGATCTATTAAATTGTAACACATATTTATTTCTGTTATAAATCAATTATTTGATGACTTTTATAGGTCATGGTTTTACATTTGTTCTCATATTTTTCTTTGTAAAACTAGTCACTACGAACTCTAGATAAAACACAGAAGTTTCTACATTTTTATGCATTAATCGTAAAGTTTTAAAGTCCAACTAAAAGCTTAATTTGAGAGCATGCAAGTTAATAAATAATATGATGGGGGGGGCCTCATAATAATAATAATGTCTGTTTAAAATCTTAAAGCTCTTTTTTACGCATTAAAACGGGAAACATTTCTACAAATGTGTGAAAAAATTTAATCGTCTTTTGGTTTAACCAGTTGAACCTAACGGCCCCGCGGGCGGGGGCAAAACGCCACATCTTGCAAGAAACAGCGTCTGAGGGCTTCTCAACATTTAAAAAACCTATGAATGTGTCATACCCACTTAACGGGAAGAAACTCAGCTATCAGACAATATTAACAATTTTTAGCTAAACGAAACACAAGGGTAGTAACAAAGGCTCTGAATTAGCCCTGAGCAAAAAAATGCTAACACACTTAGCACAGAACTCACGTTACAATACCCTTATTACTCAGATCTGCAAACAAGATATTGATTAGCAAGCTGAGATTCCACAGATTCCTGAAATAAGTATCATCACTGAGCGATCAGAACAACAAACACAAATTAGCTTTACGGAGCCAAAACGGCTATAAACGTCTTAGCTTTGTTATTTTCTGATCAAAAGTTGTGTTCAATGGCATTACAACGACAAAAACGCTGCTGAAGGTTAATCCAATGTGTCTGTGTCACTTTGAAATGATTACTGATAATCCATCTTCATATTTATGTCAATAACGGAGTTTTCATATTAGCTGCTACGATAGCTACTAGAGCAGGGGTATTCAACTAAAATTCAACGAGGTCCAGTTAGAGAAAATGTCCCCATGCAAAGGTCCGGAACATCAACATGTCTAAGTTGCTTTATGAATTAGTGTGTATATATTGAAGTAGCCTGTAGCCTTATCAACGTCTGCATGTAATCAACAACTGACTGCCAATCAAATAAAGAATGTACAATTCAAAAACAACAATATTCAATTAACATTGAACTATACAGATATACAGTAAATGCTGTGGATATGTGTAATGTTCCTGTCGGGCTGCATTTAAAAATAAAATAGAGAAAATAAATAAAATAGCTTTTGAAAATGTGTGCATCTTAAAAGTGCTTAATTTTAGATAAATAAAAGAAAGTGTAGCAGCTAGGGATGAACTGAATGGGAAATTCTTGGCCGAAACCGATACCGAAAATAGGAAACAGTTAGCCGAAAACCGAATGCCGAAAGGCCGAAAATGATTAATAGAAATATATATATATAGAAATATATAGATATATGAAATATATATATAGAAATATATATATATAATGTATACATTTTTTATCAATGTTGTTCAGCTACCTGATTAT